TAGTCTAATAGTAATATAATTTGTATTTGAGCACCGACAAGACTGTCAAAGAATTAAAAAAAAAAAAAAAAAAAAAAAAAAAAAAATTACAATAGTTAATTATTAGTTATATAAATATATTATATATATGTTATTTGACCAATTTGACCAATGTTAAACTCTTGGACCAGACCAGTCAAGCTGGTCAAATTGGTCTAATCAAGTTTGACTATTGACCGGTCTAACTCAACACTAGTTATTTCGACTATACCTATATTTTACAAATTGTAATTTTTTTTTTATTTAACCGGGCTAGTGATTTGCATTTTTTTTTCTCTTTGATTAAGTTGGTAATTTCGCTTACTATTTTTACTCTTTGAACAGGTAGGTTATTTTTGACTATACCTAAATTTTACAAATTGCAATTTTTTTTTATTTAACTGGGTTGGTGATTTGTATTTTTTTTTTCTTTGATCGAGTTGGTGATTTTGCTTACTATTTTTTACTTTTCGACCAGGTGAGTGATTTCGATTATACTTACGTTTTACAAATTGTAATTTTTTTTTCTATTTAACTGGACTGGTAATTTGCATTTTTTTTTTCTTTGATCAAGTTGGTGATTTCGCTTACTATTTTTACTCTTTAACTAGGTAGATTATTTTGATTATATCTATGTTTTACAAATTGTAATTTTTTTTTTCTATTTAACCGGGCTGGTGATTTGCTTTTTTTTTTCTCTTTGATTGAGTTGGTGATTTCGCTTACTATTTTTTTGACCGGGTAGATTATTTCGATTATACCCACATTTTACAAATTGTAATTTTTTTTCTATTTAACCTAGCTGGTGATTTGCATTTTTTTTTCTCTTTGATTGAGTTGGTAATTTCGCTTACTATTTTTTACTCTTCAACCAGGTAGGTTATTTTGACTATACTTACATTTACAAATTGTAATTTTTTTTTTATTTAACTGGGCTGACAATTTGTATTTTTTTTCTCTTTGATCAAGATGGTGATTTCGCTTACTATTTTTTACTCTTCGACTGGGTAGGTGATTTCGATTATATCCACATTTTACAAATTGTAATTTTTTTTCTATTTAACCTGGCTGGTAATTTCATAGACACTTTGCTTACTGTTTCTAAATAAATTTTTTTAAATTTTAAAATAAAATATTTCAGATATATATTGCATCTTTTGAAAGAATACATTGAATAAAAGTTGTACTACAATTTGTGTTTTTTTTTTCTCTTTGATCAAGTTTATTATTTTTACTCTTCAACTGAGTAGGTGATTTCAACTATACTTATGTTTTACAAATTGTAATTTTTTTTTCTATTTAACTAGGTTTACAATCTGCATTTTTTTTCTTTTTGATCGAGTTGGTATTTTCACTTACTATTTTTTTACTCTTCAACCAGGTGAGTGATTTCGATTATATCTACATTTTACAAATTGTAATTTTTTTTTATTTAACCAGCTTACAATCTGTATTTTTTTTTTCTCTTTGATTGAGTTGGTGATTTCTTACTATTTTTTACTCTTCAACTAGGTAGGTGATTTCGATTATACCCACATTTTACAAATTGTAATCTTTTTTCTATTTAACTGGGCTGGTGATTTGCATTTTTTTTTCTCTTTAATCAAGTTGGTAATTTCGCTTACTATTTTTACTTTTCAACCAGGTAGGTGATTTCGATTATACCCATGTTTTACAAATTGTAATCTTTTTTCTATTTAACCGGGCTAGTGATTTGCATTTTTTTTCTCTTTAATCAAGTTGTGATTTTGCTTACTATTTTTTACTCTTCGACCAGATAGGTTATTTTAACTATATTTACATTTACAAATTGTAATTTTTTTTCTATTTAACCAAGCTAACAATTTGCATTTTTTTTTCTCTTTGATCAAGTTGATGATATCGCTTACTATTTTTTACTCTTTGACCAGGTAGGTGATTTTGATTATACCCACGTTTTACAAATTGTAATTTTTTTCTATTTAACTGGGCTAGTGATTTGCATTTTTTTTCTCTTTGATTGAGTTAGTGATTTCGCTTACTATTTTTACTCTTTGAATAAATAGATTATTTCGATTATATCCATATTTTACAAATTGTAATTTTTTTTTCTATTTAATTGGGCTTCCAACCTGCATTTTTTTTTTCTTTGATAAAGTTGGTGATTTCATTTACTATTTTTTACTCTTCAACCGGGTAGGTTATTTCGACTATATCAATGTTTTACAAATTGTAATTTTTTTTCATTTAACTGGGCTAACAATCTGCATTTTTTTTTTTTTTGATTAAGTTGGTGATTTCATTTACTATTTTTTACTCTTTGACTGGGTGGGTAATTTCATTATATCTATGTTTTACAAATTGTAATTTCTTTTTTATTTAATCAAGCTTACAATCTGCATTTTTTTTTTTCTCTTTGATAGAGTTGGTGATTTCACTTATTATTTTTTACTTTTCACCTAAGTAAGTGATTTCGATTATACTCATGTTTTACAAATTATAATCTTTTTTTTATTTAACTGGGCTGGTGATTTGCATTTTTTTCTCTTTGATTGAGTTGATAATTTTGCTTATTATTTTTTACTCTTCAGTCAGGTAGGTTATTTTCAACTATATCCACATTTTATAAATTGTAATTTTTTTTCTATTTAACCAAGCTGGTGATTTGCATTTTTTTTTCTCTTTGATCAAGTTGGTAATTTCGCTTATTATTTTTTACTCTTTGACCGGTAGATTATTTCGATTATACCTACGTTTTACAAATTGTAATTTTTTTTTTATTTAACTAGGCTAGTTATTTGTATTTTTTTTTCCTCTTTGATTGAGTTAGTGATTTGCTTACTATTTTTTACTCTTCAACTGGGTAGGTTATTTTAACTATACCTAAGTTTTACAAATTGTAATTTTTTTTCTATTTAACTAGAGAAAAATATATTACATTATATAAAAAAAAAAAAAAAATTCTTAATACCCACACCCTAACTATATAAATAATTAGGGGAGATAATTTGCCTCAGGTTAAATGTAGTTGTTAATTAATAATAAAACAAAACAAGAAAAGTCTTGTTTTGTTTTATAATAAAAATAGAAATAATAATTGTTCTATTTTCCCAAAAAAGTTAAGTAATTATTTTCTGTTTTAGTAATAGATGTATGCAATAAATTTTTTTTTTTATGCAGTCATAATAATGGACTTCCTTTTTAATCTTTATTTGGAATTATATATATATATGACTGCTATTCAATAAGCAAAAATTTTGAGCACAATTTGATGCACTGCTATTAAGCATTTATTAATACAACTAGAGAATATATATACAATGAGTTGTTTTTTGTAAAATGAAAAATTACTAAAAAAAGTAATTTTGTAAAAGATCAATTTTCAAACTTAAATATTAATACAACCGTAATTTTTCTGATAAGTAATTTAGGGTAACACCAGGTACTAGTTATTACTTTTAAGTGCTAACTACTTGTTTGAATAAATTTTTAAATAGCTTTTATTATTAATAAACATGATTTGGTTTTGTCCATTTTGTGATGAAATTAATATAATCAATAAATTTTCAAGATCAACTGATTTAACACAGCATATTTCACAATGTTATTCTTATATTAGTAAAAATACATCTTTTGTATCTCAATCAACAGATATTTAACTACAATATAATCCTGCTATATATGATTATCTATTATTAATAAGTTCTGATAATACTTCTTCTTAGATAAATAAATTGTAAATATTTATTTGAAACTTAGCAAATGTGTTGAATTAACAATTATTTTAAATATATAGAGCAAAAGTGAAATAAATGAAGACAATCAAATGAATATTACTCAAGTCGAACATGCTGATGTAATGATGATAGAAGACATGACAAATAACATAAAAAAAGATGAATATAGTATGTTAGAAGATAAAGCAAATGAAGAAAATAGTGAAATTGAATCTGAGAATGATTTTTTTGTAACTGAGGATTAATTTCTTTTAGCCAAAAAAGAACTAGAAATTGAAATTGATCATGAAGATTATGAAGAAGCATCAATAGCAGATGCTTATCGAGATTTACAATATTTACCACAAGTAAAATAGCCAAATGAAGCCTATCAAGAGATTATAACACTTGTTACCAAATTCTAATTATTAAATTCAGCTAGTAGAGGTGTAGCGACTTAGTGTAGTGGTCTAGTCGTTACCCTCTCCAAGTGGCAGATCTAGAGTTCGAATCCCACGAACGATGAATTTTGAAAAATAGGCTTGTATTACGGTTGACGGTTATGATTGTCGGTTGGATTTTAGATAAATCTGTAACTTCGGTCACACCATCTAGTAATGGGAGCAATGGCGCAATAAAGCCGAGG